TTTTTTTTTTTATTTGATAAATTAGTGTTAAGGATTAACTAAAGGTATTATTAAAGATTAATTATAATTATTAAAAAAAATTATTCTTTATGTAAAAATGAATCAGGAAACTCTTTTTTTTTTTTTCATTAATAATCAGAAAACTCACCCCTAAAAAGAAAAAAAAATCAGAAATTTAAAAATCCTCAATCAAAAGTTCAAAACTCAGAAAACCAATCAAGATGCTCTTACCCTAGATCTATGGTTGTTAATGATATACACTCTGTCGTCCTAAACCCACTCTTATCGAATTCAAGTCGTCGTGAATCGAGCCGTCGTGAACCAAACCGACAGTCCAACGCTCACAAATGTTGCCATCGCGAATCAAGGCATCGTGCTTCTTAGCTCTCGGTTGAAGCCGTCCCAGCGATCTATGTTGCCCGCACCCGCACTGACCGGTCGGAAAGAAATCACCCCAAGGCCCAACAATTTTGTTCAAAATCTTAAACCCATTGTTGAGCTAGAAAGACACCTTCTCTTACTTTACATCTGCATCCATTTAATAGCTTTATTTTTTAAGCAACCAAACGATGGCTTTATTTCAGCCAAGAAAAAAATGATGGCTTTGAAGGAAGGAAATAAAGGGACGAGTGTAGCGATTTAGCATGGTATATGTTTTGCGTCTGAATTAGTGTTGGAACTTTGGACGGGGGCTGCCTCCGAAAAAATCAATTTTAAGTCCGACACTCGAATCCGCCTGTCTAATTTTTCGGGCCGCCCGTCCGAGCCCGAGGAGGCCCGTGGATGGGCTGCGGGCCTGATTTTAGTTGCCCGAGCCCGTCCGAATTGTCCGAAATTTTTTTAATTATATTTTTTACTTTTTATAATATTGTATATATTATATATAATATACTTTTATTTATTAATTGTATTTGTATATAAATAATTATTAAGTTATTTTGTGTTAAAATTATATAAAAACTAAAAAAAAAGGCCATCGACGGTCGGAGGAGGCAAATCCGCGGCAGGCTTTTGCCGTGTGGCTGTTCCGGCAGCCCGAGCCTGCCCTAGTCCTTGGACGGGCGGCCATAGGCCCCTGCCTACCGAGCCCAAAAAATTTGGGCCTCGAGCAGGCCTACCGACCCAAACTTCTAGCAGTAGTCAGAATGATATAGGTGGAGATGGAGGATCAGAGAAGCGCATATGAGAGTTTTTTTTTTTTTTTTTTTCAACAAAACCCAGAAGATATAAGCCCAAAAGCCAAGACAAAACACCAGATCTCCAGAAACAAACAAAGATAATGAGTGAATATTTTGGATGCGTTTGAAATTAATTTTAAAATGATTTTATTTTTAATAAAAAGTAAAAAATAATATTATTTTGAGAATCATTCTCGAACCGATTTTGAAATTGCGTTTGGTTAGTTTTTTAAGAGATTATTTTGAATATAATAAAAAAGTAAAATCGTGTTTATTAATTAATATATTATAATATTATTGATAAGTACTAAAAAATAAAAATAGAAAAGTAAAAACAACTTTTAACTATTTTTCAATTCTTTCCAAAAACTATTCTCACTGTTTTTGTTTTCATTTTCGTTTTTAAAACATTTACTAAAACGTCGTTTCGTTTTTATTTTCATTTTTTACTTTTCGAAATACGTAAAAACTGTTTTTAAAAATGATTCTAAACACACACTTTGTTTTTGATATATTTTTTTAATGATTATGATTAGTCTTTAATAATACCTTTTATTAGCCCTTAACACTAATTTAGCAAATAAAAAAACTTTAAAATTATGTCACTTCAGCAAATCCATTAAATGTATATACAGAAGTAGATGGAGGAGGTATTTTGAACTGTTTTCTATATATTGAGAGGTGTTTTGAACTGTTTTAAAAAATCAAGGACATTTTGAACAATGTATATATTTTAGAGGGCATCTATGAAAATAATCTTTTTTTCTTTGAGGACATATTTGGCACTTCAGATGCTTGGGGTTGGATTATTTATGATTTGTGTCTCATGTTTGTTATATTTAGGATTGGATGTCTAATCCCCAAATTAATAGTTCCATTTCCAGGAGATTATTTAATCATCGTTAAACACATAGGATAGATAGATCGAGCCTGTTACACGCTTTTTTTATAATAATAATAATTTACTTTATCCCTGAAATAAATTAATAAATTTACATTTGAAAAGTTTAATATTTCAAAGCTGGTTAATCATTGGTTTTAAAATTCGCATGCCCAATTGAAAAGTTTAATAGTATAAAGTTAGTTTCCAACAGTTTTATATCCTTCTTGTTTTGGTGAATATTAGTTTTACATTCATACTAAAGGTTAATGCAATGTAATCTAGTGCTATAGCATATACATGTGATAATATTAAATATTGATCATTGTAGATTATTATTAAATATCGCGTAAATCAAGTCTTAAAAAAACTCCAATTTTAAATAATAATTCTATGTAATTCCCTGTACTAATCTTGATCTTGAAGTATTTTAACCCGATACTTAAATGGTTGATTGGACTTCATTTTACTTGGTGAAATTTATGCCGTTTATAATAAATAAAATAAAATAGAGCATTTTCTTGCAATATTTTAAAAATAGCAAAATTTTACTTTTGATCATATGCATCTAGAGCTAGTAAAATATACTTTTGATCGAATGCATCTAGAGCAAATTCATTATAGAGAACTTCGTGCTAATTCTAAAAAGCATGAAAGACTATTCTTTCCATATCCACTCAAACGACTCCAACCATTATATTAGTATTCTTTGAAAGTTTTATGATAAACCTCATTTATTTATTTATTTATTTCAGAAGCTTTTTTTTTTAATACAATATCTCAGAAATATTTATTTACTACTTGATTCTTCCAATCTTAATCCTTAACAACCGCCGAGTTTGCTGCCTACAAGATTCCAAAGAAAACCAAGCCATTTTCGTTGCCGTCATCACACACCACATCTAAATTTGGCCTCCTCCGCTAACTGACGGCTGGGAATTGAAGAAGTCATCAAACTTAGTCAAAGCACAACTCTCTTATAGGGGGAAAAAAAAAAAAAAATCCCACGTAAAACCTTGTCTCTCTCATTTTTCTTTCTTTATCTCCTTCCGTTGAATCCGACTATCTCGGGCCCCCACAACAGCTCCCGGAGCTCTCTCTCCTCAGGCGGAGCTCCGGTCGACAACAATGGTGAAGAAAAATGAGGAGACCGAGACCGAAAATATCGATCAAGATGAAGAGAATGATGAAACTGATATCAATGATAGTAACGATGACGATGATTTCGAATCGATAACCCGAGAAGAAGACGAGCAAATCACTGCTCCTTACGTCGAAATGAATCGGAAGAAGAAGAAAGCCTTGTTGGAATTCAGGTGCAGGGTCGAAGACGCGATCCTGGGAAACTATCTTTTGGGCAAGCCGAACCAGTTCCTCTCAAGAACCGAAATCATGAGGCAGAAGGAGATCCTCCGAGAGATTACTCTCTGGGACGTGCCGTTGTTGCCGAGCAAAGGCCACGAAGGGACAGACATTGTGCTTCTCAGGTTCCTCAGAGTCAAGGACTTCAAAGTCAACGAAGCCTTCCAAATGCTCCGGCGAACTCTCAGATGGCGAAAGGAGTACAAGGCCGACGAGATTCTTGATGAGAAGTTGGGCCCGGATGTTGAAAAGGTTATGTGTTTGGACAGCCGAGATAGGGAAGGTCGTCCTTTGTGTTATAGTGTTTATGGGGCTTTCAGAGATAGGGAAGTTTACAAGAGAGCCTTCGGTTCGGAAGAGAATGGTGGGGAGTTCTTGAGGTGGAGGATTCAGTGCTTGGAGAAGGGAATAAAGAAGCTCGAATTCAAGAATGGTGGTGTGGATTCTATCGTCCAGATTTCGGACTTCAAGAACTCTCCCGGACCGGTTATGAAAGAGCTCCGTTCTGTTAGCAAGAAAGCAATGATTTTGATTCAAGACAACTATCCTGAACTCATTCACAAGATTGTAAGTTTGAAGGTTAATTATATTCAGAATTCAATTTTTACAAGATATTTATCTGGGTTTTCTTGTCTCTCTTTTTTTTTTTTTTTTTTTAAAATTGTTATTATGGGCAGATTGTTATCAATGCTCCATTATGGTACTATGCGGTTCACATGTTACGATCAAGATTCTTAACCCAAAAAACAAAGAGCAAGTTTGTGTTCGCTAGGGCCCCAAAGGTTACCAAGACACTTCTCAAGTAAGAATATCTTATTAGGAGTAATTGAGTTTTTAAAGTATCAATTTTTGTGTCCCTATGATGTATCTGATGTGAATTTACTTGAAAAAAAAAAAAAGGTTTGTAGCAGCAGAGAGCCTTCCAGTTCAATATGGTGGCCTCAAAAGAGAAAGCGACCAAGACTTTTCGCCTCTCGACAAGGCTTCGGAGCGAAAAATCAATGGAAATTCAACTGCCTACATTGAGTTTCCAGTTTCTGAGGTACTTTTTGAGTTATAGTTTGTTAACCTAATTTGATCATTTAGCCTTGTAACAGCCAAGAAAATCCATGTTAAGCTTGTTATATATTAATCTCTTCCTTTGTTTTCTTAGGCTGGTTTAACAATGGTCTGGGATTTAAGTGTGGTTGGATGGGACGTGACCTATAAGGAGGAGTTCATTCCTGATGACGAAGGATCATACAAGATTTTACTCAAAAATCAGAAGAGAATGGGAGAGAATGTAAGAAATTCATTCTACATTCGTGAACCTGGCAAAATATTGATTACCATTGACAATGGGACTTTCAAGAAAAAGAGAGTTCTTTACAGATCTAAAGCCAAACCTACAATCCCCATGTACATCTTTTTCAAGAATCAATAGCCATTTTCTCTTGCGCAAAGTTTTGCATATTCTTCTCCACAACATGGTTTAAGAGCTATGTATAGGACTCAAAAAATACCGAACTTCTATATAAGAAAAAAGAATTCATTGGATAGTACTTTCACATAAACGCAGTTATTATAATATTTTAATTAAGGTTTACTCCGTAATTTAATTTTGCTACATCTGCTCCTTCTCAGAGAGAAAAAAAAAAAAATCCATCAACAAAGTTGAAATTTTTATTTTTATTTTTATTTTTTGTACTTGACATGAGATCAATTCCTGAATTAGGCATGAGATCACACGGGCAGGTTTTAAAAGTGATGTTATGCACATCAGTCTATCATTATCTAGATATAGATATCTAGGAGTTTATTTATTTAAGAAGCTATATATATGCAAGGCATATATATGTCAATCATGCAGGACATATATAGACTGACGGACAAATAATCAGCGTATACATCCCAGAAATTAAAAGAAGACGACAATACCGAAGGCAAAATCATGGTCACAGAAGAGGCATACTCTATTATTGGCAAACTCAAAAGTTTATATAAGCTATTCAACCGTACACGTAGTATTTATTATTGATACATAGTAGACGCTCCGCTTATACATTCTAAGAGAAGAAAGCTACCAAACAGCGAATTAAAGGCCGTTCTTATTATTCTCTACAGATCACTAAGTACACTAATAACCTCCCAAAACGCCAAGTCCCCATTATTACATTCTCTACTTACTTGCAACAGAGAGCCTGTTGATTGTATATTAAAAGGCTGTTTATTATTTGCTACCACCTGAAAGCTCGTACACTCTCTACTTAGTCGGTACATATTGTGGATATTTAGGCAACAGCTCTCGTCTCAGAAGAGCTGGAAGAGCTCAAAAGGAAGGTCTCTTCCCTGTTGTACTTGAGCCTCTGGGCCTGGTCTCTCGAGATCTGGAAGGCGTTGATGAGGACGGCTTCCGGCAGGGCACGGATGACGGAGGTGCGTCCGGCGAGAGGGCTGATCCATGCGTTGTCGTTTGTTTTGAACGACACCCACTCGAATCCCTCGCTGCTGGCCTGCTTAACCACGGCGTGGTTCTGAGGCACTGTCAGGATCTGGCCTTGTCTGACCTCGCCGTCGAAGAAGCTCTGTCCGAAGTGGTCCACCACCTGAATCCTTGCTCGGCCTCTCAAGACATAGATGACGCTGTGGGCGTTCAAGTTCCAGTGTGGAGTGTAGATGCCATTCTGCAATTATATCATGCAATATTACACAACAAAGTTAAGATTATATTTATATTGTTTTGGCAGAATTAGTTGTTTATAACAAGTACTTACCTTGTAGAGGACACCCCTCTCGGCACTGAGGCGGAGGTGGCGGAGAATAGGGAGGTTGAAGCTGTTGACGGTGCTGATGCGGCCGGCCTGAGGAGTGAAGATATCGGCGCGTGAAGGGTCGCCAATGTTCTCCTTGAGCCTCATTGAGCAGAAAGTGACGCTCTTGACTTGATCTCAACGGGCTCACCAAGTCAAGACCTCCCTTTACCTTGATGATGTTGTTCCTGTTGTCGTTTTGGCCCTGAATTCTCCTTGCGGTCTCAGAGTCCACGTTGAATGCTTCCTCGATGAATCTAGTGTTCAAACCTCTGAAGATGTTGTGCTTGTCCTCTGAGCCACGTCGGCGGCGGCTTGGTTCACGTCCTTGCTGTTCTTGATATTGTTGTTGTTGTTGCTCGAATTCGTCTTCAGGGTTGCCAGCAAGATAGAATCTCTGTACGTAGTACGATACAATATATCATATAAAGACATTTTTATGCATGCATCAACATTATAAGAGAGTGGATATTATATATTATTTTTATGTTCTTACTCTGGGGTTTTGATCAAGCTGGTTCTCGACGTTGCTGGTGTCGAGAAGAGTGACGGAGACGAGTTGTTGGTCGCCGTTGTTGTAGCTCCAGTAGGCAACTCCGACTGGGATTGCGACGATGTCGCCTTCCCTTACGTGTCGGAGTTTCTGGTGACGGTCTTCCGGTTGTGAGCTACGGCCCTGTCCTTTCTGGGACTCTTCGAAAGTCTCGGCGCAACCAGGGAATACAGTTCCTATGATACCCCTTCCTGTACAAGAGATGTGTATAAAGCCAAATGGTTAATCCAGAGCAAAAAAATAAATAAGTAAATAATAATTCTAATTATTCAATCAGTACAAGTCTATTCACACGATATAAATATATGTACCTCTCACAATGTACATGAGTTGAGGAGTGTTAGTGTAAGAAGGCAAGTGAAGGCCGTTGGGTTCGATGGTGCGGCGAACGACGGCGACACCAGCGCATTGGAACTGGTCGTGGTTGGGGTTCCACGACTCGATCACTCCGGCTTCGGCCTTAATGCGGCTGTCGGGTTCGAGAGCTTGGAGGCGATCGAACTGGCACTCATTCTGCCGGCGAGAGTACTCCTCTGACCGAGAGCGAGAGATGGCAAGGCTGCCTTGGAAGAGAACGAGCAGGCAAAGGGTAAGAGACAGAAAACAGAGCTTTGCCATGTTGAGTAATAGTTGTGATGGATTGAGGTGAAGTGGAGAACAGAAGACGTTTGTATTTATAGGGGAGAGACAGTGGTGATGGAGAGACACGTAGGGTATTTCCGGGTAAGGAATCTTTGGCCATTCTTCACTTTGCATGGCTATCCGACCCTAATTTCTTACACCTCAATCCGTTTGTTAGGGCAGGTGGCTCTTTGTTTCAGAGAAGAGAAGCATACGAATTCTTATCAATTTTGTCCATGCATGTATCTCACGTTTTCCAGAGTTGGTCCTTTTCGTTTTGGTTTTATGATCAAATAACTGGACCAGGTTCATAATTTCGTGCTAGCTCCACTGAAATGGGTCTTCTTGTTAGAAATCTCGAGGGAAATGAGACTTGAAACACGTAGAAAGTACACTTTTCTTAAAGCGTAATTTGCTCCTTCTCGTTAGAGATTGCTTCAGGTTCTCAACAAATTGCTCGCAGGATATGACAATCCTTCAAGTTGTTGATTACAAGCAAAATGACAACAACAACAAGAACTTTTTGAATATTTTGGAAATCTTTATACAAGAAGAGAGAAGAATTGTAGAGTATATTTCACATGCTTTTTTCTGTAATTCTTGTTCTTTTTATAGGTTTTTATCACATCAATACGTACAGACACAACCAAACTTAAAAAGACACCTTTCCCATTTGAATCGGTGTCAATTCAAGTTTCAAAAAACGTGTCTGATCGTTACGGCGCTGCAGCGCCAGTTTCTGGAAAACTAGAAACCGTCTGCGCATGCCTGAGAGCCGCGGCGCCCAAACTTAGCGCCGCGGCGCTATGCTCTTTGTCCAGTCCAGCGTCGCGGCGCCTAGACTCAGCGCCAAAGCGCTATGCTTGCTGGAAATTTTGTCCATTCCAGCGCCGCGGCGCCAAAGCGTCATGCTTGCTGGAAATTATGTCCGCTTTTAGGTGTGATAAAACTTAACAAATTCTTATATATTATATTTAAACAATCTCAACAATCCCCCACTTGTTTAAACATAATATTGAAGAATTCTATCCAGAAACTGTATATATGCATAATGTAAAATATCTTTCGATTTGAATTTTACCTTAGTGTAAGTTTCACAAATGTATATCAAAATTCCAGGTAGCCTAAGGCTTTGAACCGGTTATTCCTTATGATAATACCGGTGAATCCACACACAAAAATACATTAGAGTTCAAGTATTCTACACAACACTCGCTTTGCACTATTCATTGCCTTGTGTAATCCTGATTCAAAAACTTTTCAAAGAGAAACTCCAACTCTTCTTTGAGACTGCACCGATCCTGATTCAAAAACTTTTCAAAGAGAAACTCCAACTCTTCTTTGAGACGGCACCGCCTCTAAGTTTACATAGGTGAAGTTCTTCCAGTATCTTTCTTACTTTTAAGATACTTGTTCTTAAAACTGAACTTCATTAAGAGTTAATCTTTACTCATCCTTCACACAGTAACAATCAGCACTAAAATTCTTTTTGGGCTTAATGGTTAGTGCTGAAACTCTCCACTTATCAATGATTTGTTATTACCCATTAAATCTAAAATTACTCATTTTGTAATGTTAGATTGGGTTGCCATCATTGGTGGATTTTAATCCAGAAGTTTTAGTCCCATCCCATTTGATGTCGTCCTTACTAAATCTCTCGAAAGAGCTTTAGTAAAAGGATCTACCAAATTTTCAATAGATTTCACATATGTAAGAGAAATTATTCCATCTTTGATTAATTTCCTTACATAATCATGTCTAAGACTCATATGTCTTGACTTTTCATTGTATATCTCGCTCTATGCTCGAGCTAAACTGGCTTGACTATCACAATGTATTGATATCGCTGATACATCTTTCATAGTCAAAAGAATCTCCAACAATAGGTCCTTTAACCACTCTGCTTCATTCCCAGCTGCTGCTAATGCAATAAATTCTGACTCCATAGTTGAGTGTGTTATACAGGTCTGTTTCTTGAATTTCCAACAAATAACACCTCATCCCAAAATGAACACCCAACCAGTCGTTGATTTGTTATCTCCAATACTTGATATCCAGCTTGCATTTGTATATCCTTCTAGAACGACAGGGAATTTTGAATATTGGAAACCTGTTTTTAGTTTTCAATAGATAACCTAAAACTCTACCAATGGCCTTCCAATGTTCAACACTTGGATTACTAGTAATCTACTCAATTTACTAACAGTAAATGCTATATCAGGTCTTGTGCACTGCACTGCATACATAAGATAACCAATCGCACTTGCATACTCAAGTTGAGCCGCTGCTCTTCTATCATTCTTGAAAAGTTTTACACTAGGATTAAATGGAGTACTGGCTTCCTTTATCTTTAAGTGACTGAACTTTTTCAACACTTTCTCAATATAGTGTGATTGGGTTAGAGCGTAACCCCCATTATTTAGTCTAACTTTGATACCTAGTATTGTATCCACTTGATCA